AGTTGGAGTCTCACTCTGCCCAGACTGGAGTGCAGTGGCACGCTCCCGGCCACCGCAGTCTCGACCTGCTGGGTTCCAGCGATCCTTCCACCTCAGCCTTCCAAGTAGTGGAACTACAGGAGCACGCTACCACGCCCGGCTAATTTTTTGATTTTATTGTAGAGATGTGGTCTCGCCAAGTTGCCCAGGCGGGTCTCGAACCCGCAGGCTCAGGCAATCCACTCACCTCAGCCTCCCAAAGCGTAGGTTTACAGGCTGAGCCACCGAGCCCGGCTGCTGCAATTATTTAATATCCCTTTTTCAAATTTAAAGATCTATTTGTCTTTTATTAGTGACTCATGAATCGGGGTGGCATCTCTTCTAAAAACTTAGAAAAGGTGCTCCAACGAGCTGAGCAGAGGAGGTGGGTTTTACGGGCAGAAAAGGGCTGAAGAAAGCTGAAACGGGGAACAAAAAGCTGATTGGTCATTTCAAAGTTACTGTAGTCCCCTCTTTTTTTTTTTTTTTTTTGAGTTGGAGTCTCACTGCCACCCAGACCGGAGTGCAGTGGCCGCTCCCGGCCACCGCAGCCTCGACCTGCTGGGCTCCGGCGATCCTTCCGCCTCAGCCTTCCAAGTAGCTGGAACTACAGGCGTGCGCTACCACACCCGGCTCGTTTTGATTTATTGTAGAGATGAGGTCTCGCCAAGTTGCCCAGGCAGGTCTCGAACCCGCGGGCTCAGGCAATCCACTCACCTCAGCCTCCCAAAGGCACGGGATTACAGGCTGAGCCACCGAGCCCGGCTCTGTAGTCCCCTCTTATACACGGGCACACGTTAAGGCCCCGGCAGACCACCGAAATCTCGGATAGTACTGAACCCTATATAGACTGTTTTTTTCCTAGACACATATGCTTACGATAACGTTTAACTTATAAATTAGGTACAGTAAGAGATTCGCAACAACTAATACTAAACCAGAACAATGCTGTGTTCCCTAGTGTTGGGCAGTGTCTGGGAAGTGAGCAGAGCTCCGTAGATGCTGGGGTTCCTAGTGGTGATGGGTACCACGGGGGAGGGAAGCAGAGGGCAAAGGGGTAGGAAATTTGGGGACGCAGCCTCATTTCACCCTGAGAGGAGGCCCCTGGAGGGATTATGGAGGGCGGGGTGAGAAATCACGGGCTCAGGAGATCCATCCTAGGTCAAGGAGCGCGATGTGCCGCAGGACTCGCCGATGGAGGCCCGGACCCTTCCCCAGGGAAACATCTTCCCGCGATATTCCTGGCCTCTCTCGCTTTTGGAGAAACAAAGGCAGGCTCAATTTCCTCTAACAGCGGGCAAACTGGGCCCGGAAGGGAGGTCCTAGGATCTGAACCTGGAGAGCCGCACCAGCCGCGCCACCAGCGTCGGGGTCCTCGCCACAGCCCCGCCCCACCTTAGCCCCGCCCACACCACCCCCGCCTTGGCCCCGCCTTGGCCCCGCCTTCTCCCCGCCCACAGCCCTCACGTCTCAGCCCCGCCCACAACCCTCCTTCCTAGTGGCGGCGACTGCGGCGGTGGCGGGGGCGGGGCGGGTCTCACCCGGAATGAAAACAAACGGCGGCCGCCGCCGCATCCGGGCACTCGGCAGG